GTAATTTCCATTACAAAAGTATAAACGATATTACCTACTGATCAGAAAGGCTTATCAGTACCCCACCACCACCACCCCACCCTAGGCCTACCCCATCCCGCACCCTCTCCTCTCACACACATGCACACACACACACTCCCTAACATATCGCTCTGTCCCAGAGACCCGATATTTAAACCTTTAAAACAGACATCATTTGCATGGCAAGAAAGGCACGCACGTTAATAGTGGTGCTCAGTCATGGGTATCACTTCGCCTTCTGTTTCTAATGATCTCAGTGCATTATGACGTGGTAGGACGCGCTAACGAACCCGATGTGACAGTTATATTACAGAACCATTGAAATACATGTTAAAGTAGTGTCTATCTTGTAACACTTTATTTACCCATTACCAATCATGTACGCGTGTACTAAATATATGACAAACTTAACCCTGGTCATACGAGATTTCAAAGGTATTGAAATGCGTGTCCTACAATCACAGTATTTACATATGTTACACATGCTAGAAAACACATGAAAACAATGGCCAGATTTACTCATTTGTGAAATACATGTAAATGCAGAGTTGAGTGTTCGTTTATTTTAACACCCCTTTAAACGTGTGTAAATCTGACAACCAGATGATACGTAGATTTTAAACGTTGTTCATATGCCTGCCGGATGAGGTGAGGTGAGGTGAGGTGAGGTGAGGTGAGGTGAAATTGGGTTTAACGTCGTGCTTGAGAATATTTCACTCATATGACGACGTGCATGCGTGTGTATGTGTATGTGCGGCTGCTTGTACTATCCCAAACCAAGCTGGTTTTATAGTGCTAGCCCACTGAGATACCATGTCGCAGTGAAGCATGAATACCCCACTCACACACATTATACTGACTCCGAGTCCTTGTTGTACCCATTAAGGCCGAGCGCCAGGCAGGGACCAACAAGTACCATATTTTAACGTCTTTTTGGTATGACGTGGTCGGGGATCGAACCCGCGACCTTCCCCTCCGGACGAACCGTATACTAGTATTTCCTAACAATAGTAAGTGAGTGAGTGAGTGAGTGAGTGAGTGAGTGAGTGAGTGAGTGAGTGAGTGAGTGAGTGAGTGAGTGAGTGAGTGAGTGAGTGAGTGAGTGAGTGAGTGAGTGAGTGAGTGAGTGAGTGAGTGAGTGAGTGAGTGAGTGAGTGAGTGAGTGAGTGAGTGAGTGAGTGAGTGAGTCGGGTAACTGAAATTTGAGAAAACGTCTGTATGGGATAATATCTGTATTGAAAATCAAAAAGAGGCCATACCAACTATGCGCATGTTTGTTCATTTACAACAGTAATTTATACAGGGAATTATTAATACATTGTAATAATCGTTTTTGAAAGTATAGATATTGAAATGTGTGCAGCTATGATCAATCGGGTAACTCATACAAGTGTGCACTAAAATTAAGGACCTACCGGTTCATGTCCGTGTGAAGACCCCTGTCAGTGTTTTATTGCAATAAGCAGTGTCTCCTTGTATGTCATATATAAGAAGTGTACCTAAGGTCAGTTATTTAAGCTATAATGTAATTTCCATTACAAAAAGTATAAACGATATTACCTACTGATCAGAAAGGCTTATCAGTACCCCACCACCACCACCCCACCCTAGGCCTACCCCATCCCGCACCCTCTCCCTCTCACACACATGCACACACACACACTCCCTAACATATCGCTCTGTCCCAGAGACCCGATATTTAAACCTTTTAAACAGACATCATTTGCATGGCAAGAAAGGCACGCACGTTAATAGTGGTGCTCAGTCATGGGTATCACTTCGCCTTCTGTTTCTAATGATCTCAGTGCATTATGACGTGGTAGGACGCGCTAACGAACCCGATGTGACAGTTATATTACAGAACCATTGAAATACATGTTAAAGTAGTGTCTATCTTGTAACACTTTATTTTACCCATTACCAATCATGTACGCGTGTACTAAATATATGACAAACTTAACCCTGGTCATACGAGATTTCAAAGGTATTGAAATGCGTGTCCTACAATCACAGTATTTACATATGTTACACATGCTAGAAAACACATGAAAACAATGGCCAGATTTACTCATTTGTGAAATACATGTAAATGCAGAGTTGAGTGTTCGTTTATTTTAACACCCCTTTAAACGTGTGTAAATCTGACAACCAGATGATACGTAGATTTTAAACGTTGTTCATATGCCTGCCGGATGAGGTGAGGTGAGGTGAGGTGAGGTGAGGTGAGGTGAAATTGGGTTTAACGTCGTGCTTGAGAATATTTCACTCATATGACGACGTGCATGCGTGTGTATGTGTATGTGCGGCTGCTTGTACTATCCCAAACCAAGCTGGTTTTATAGTGCTAGCCCACTGAGATACCATGTCGCAGTGAAGCATGAATACCCCACTCACACACATTATACTGACTCCGAGTCCTTGTTGTACCCATTAAGGCCGAGCGCCAGGCAGGGACCAACAAGTACCATATTTTAACGTCTTTTTGGTATGACGTGGTCGGGGATCGAACCCGCGACCTTCCCCTCCGGACGAACCGTATACTAGTATTTCCTAACAATAGTAAATTAGGGTAATACAGTCATTTTGTGTGGTGAATATAGTTGTAAACAATATAGACTCACCCACACTTCGTGCTAACCAAACGTTGGTAAAACCTGTGTAAAATAGCAAATTTCAAAGATTTGACACCCACTTTTGCTTTCCAGCATCATGTAAGTTTTTTAGCATTATATAGCATTGGTATGGATATCTAGAACAATTCATACGAAGTATTTTTATCCAGTATTTTATAACCCTTATCTGTGTGGAAACAAACATCGTGTGGCGCCCTGCTCGCCAAATATACCCTTATTGGATGCGAATTTGCCAACCTGTAAGAAACGTTTGAGATACTGTGTGTGAACTTTTTCTATAACTTCAAAGTATCTTGTCCCCCATATTCACGAGAGCAGACCAAAACGGAAGACAAGCTGGTCCAGTACGCTGCTGGCCAGAAGCGTCCGTCCAAGAAGAAGAAATACAGGGACTTGGAGCGACGACTGGATGACATTCATCACCAGCTCAGACAAGGAACACTGTCCGTGAGAAAGTTTGCTGATTCAGCATTCCATCTGTTGCATTTGGTTTAAAATCTGTGGATCAATCTCTGTGTGCTATATGTATCATGAATACGCATCGGATATGCGATGTATATGTCACGCAATAACTTATGTGAATCATTGTAAAACTAAAATCTGTCAACTGAGATTGTTGATGAGTGCTTCAAAAATGGAAATATACTGATAAAAATATAAACTGTTCTCGCCTTCTCATTAGGTGTGCTCTCATCCGCATAATCCGGATTATCCACATCTAACAACTCGTTGATCCTTCATTGTCCTCGTAATCCTTTATTAATTGGCAAAATGAAACTAGTCTCAGGACGCCGATATTTATTTTCCACTCAACCGTGAAGTTTGGAAGAAAGGTCGGCGTTATGAGCCTGAACCCTTGCCGACCTCCGTAGAGACTGCACAGCGTATTCCTGGCTTGAGAAGAATTTCAGACCAAACTGTCAGGAATCGATTGCGTGAAGTTGGGATTCGACCAAGAAAGCCTGTAGTCGCCCCTGTTTTGAGAGACTTCCAACGGCGCAATTGCTTGCGGTGGTGTCGTAGAGTCACTTTTTCACGGTCCGCTGCCTTGCCAATTCTAACGTCAATGATTTGCCATGGCCTGCCGATCACCAGAACAAAACCCGATTGAACACCAATGGAATGAACTTGATCGACGTGTACGTAAGGGTGAAAACACACCTGGGACACTTCCACAACTGGCCATCGCATTGCAGGGAAAGTGCTGAAGAATTCCGCAAGAACGATTTCGCCGACTTATCCAGTCTGTGCCGAGACGGCGCCGAGCAGTAATTGCTGTCAATTATGGCCATAGAAAGTACTGACTTTGACGCCATCTTGTGGACTCGAGTAAACAGAAACACAACAATAAAGGTTGTCTATAGATGCGTGAATGTTCACCTGTTTACCTTTGAAATAACATGAAATAATTGCTATTAAACTAAAGCAATAAATTCTTCTAAGAATGGCTTATGCATTTCTTTTTTTTTGAAGAGTGTATCATCAGAATAAATTTTCATCGAAAAACCTGATATTTTGTTGCGAAATAATGAACAACACAAGTGTTTTTATTTTTTTAAACAATAGTCACACTGTTATGATTATTCTGAAACTATAAACATTGGTCGTAACAAAATTTGAAAACTGAAACTGGTCTGATCTAGTTGACTACTTGCAAAGACTACTTGCATATGGCACCTATGCATTCAGGCTCACTTCATTCACGTCACACCCAGTCTACCTTTTGTGACGTAGCAACAGCAGTTTCTATAAACCTTTTAAGGAACATAACAAAGAACGAGAACATGTTTTCCTAAAGAGCCGACTTGTATTGACACACTGACCATTGTTCCCGGGTTAAGTGTATATTTGCTTGGACCCGTTCAACTGTGTGTCAACATACTGGATGTACACTAGTTCTTTGATATCTTCTACTGATGTCTATTTACCTATGATATCCAAAACACACATTTGATTTATTTGAATCGCTAAACTAAATCAACCCCACTTTGCCACTGATACAAAAGTTACTGAATGAAATAGGTACATACAGTTTTTAACTTATGTACACAGCAGTGTATTTACATGTATGTCTTATGCAACAATGAAGTTCCGTTCGTATCCTCAAAACAGTATCGGCCCATAAGGTTTTAGGCAAATAAAATTGCATGCAATATAGCGATTACTACCCCCTTGTAACCCATGCTTGATGGTATAAGCCTAGACCTGTTTATTTGTCATCATTCACTTGATAGTCAGTTAATGAATTTATAAGAGGTCTATTTATTGGTAACGCCACTCATGTTACCCAGCAAAGGTTCCCATTTAGCATTTCTCGTGTCTTGAGTAAATGCTCAACATTATAAATTAAGGTTTCGTGTGGCAAATGTATTACATGTTTTGACATATGTACATGGACATGCAGCAAGAGGAAAAATTGTCAGCTGAGTTAAAATAGAACAAACATTGATCAAAAGATTAACCGCTAACACACTGACTGATTAATTACTTTTATCTTGCACAGCGGAATTGTCAAAAAGGCACACACTGAATACACCCACATTCTGTCGTAAAATGCTAGTGTAAACACAATGTTCTTCCTTCATTACGTTGATCTATTGCTCATTGTTGTCTAACTAAATTATTTTTTTTAAAGAATAGTCGACATCATGCAAATAGTTGTCAGGTGTGCGATCTTGGGTGACCAAAGAGATTATACACAATATGAAAAACTCTGAAACGTGATCAGTTGAGAAAGTTGAGAAAGAAAGTTATAACGTTATATTCATATTTTGGCATATTAAACCGTTAAATGGCACATGACATAGAAAAGATCTAAGTTTACATCCAGATACATCACTACAAGGAATTACAAAGGCAGTACAAATCATAGTGGCAATACAAATCCAGTTGCAATGTAATATAAAGAGCAGTGTTGACAGGAATAGAGTCAGTGATGGCAATATTCACCTGTGGCCTTCTTCATAATCTGCAACAGTTGCCGAGCCTCCAAAATGGCCTGGGCTAAGTATCCAGGTAAAAAAGGAATCTTCACAGAACGAGTGGTCTTGTAATATGAGATGCACTGTGAGATGTAACATGGAATTTCTAGACCAGTCTTGTCGTGCAGGCTAAATATGTCAATTAATACCAGCACACGATTCCCCGCATGTGTGCAATTGGTGAAACCCATTTCTGGTGTTCTCCATTTTGATATTGATGGACTATTGCTGAAAGCGGCGTAAAGACAAAACTCACTCACTCACTCAACCAGCACAACTCTGCCCTCTACTGAATCTAAACAGAACAATGCAACACAAATTCAGTCGTGTTCTAAGAGGATTAAAACTGTCACATTACAATGTAAACGCTTATATTTTGTGGTTTAATGTTGTTAACATTCTATACAATGTGTGGTGCTATCTATCCCATCATTCACCTGATGGATAACGAAATGTTTTGACTTCGATAAAATGATGGAAACATTAAACTATCACGCCTTTAGCTGTTGGATTTTGTAACATAAAATTGAAGTATCTTTTATACTTGAACAGATAAGAAATGTCCTTCAATACATAAATGTCGTCAAAACAAATTGGATCATATTTGACCTTTCCATCAAAATATTCCCCCTTTCGAAACAGAGTAGCAACATATGCAAATGTGCATTTCTCTGGGTAGTCTCCCCATCGGGGAAAGTCAGCATTAATAGCAGAATTCAGCTTCGTGATTACCTCCCTTGGCGAGGAGAACCATGATGCATGCCATCCAGCATAGTTGTCAGGTGATCCGATCAGCCAGGTTTCAAACATACCCCAGGGGTGACTTCCTTTCTGGAGCTGTCGTATCACTCCTTTACTTCCACGAATTGCATCACTACTTCCTTTATAGACGTCTCTTAGCATCTGAATACTACTCACAGCTGTAACCGATGTCGGCATTTTGCTTGACCAAAAGAATCCAAACATAAAAGTTTGAAGAACAAATCCTACAGGGAAAGGGTAGCCATTGTGAAGTTTGAGGAAGTGCAGGAGGTTCACTGATGGTGTTTCATCAGTGTCAATAAATACGAATAAATCATCTTTTCTGAGCCCTGAGACTCTAGTCTCTACAGCAGGTGCAAGTTGCTGACGGATGTAGGTTTCAACAATCCAACCATTAGCTCGTCCACCAGCTGGAAAGGTGTCAAGATAGACGTGCATTATCTTGTGGTGGAATCGCTTCATGTATCCTCTTCTCAAATTGTGTAATAACCTTAACGGCCGTGGATCTCCATGTCCAGTATAGTTGGATTCCAGTATCACAAACAGATCCACGGCTGAATGCACTTGTAGCATCTTAAGCATGAGAAGATGGTGCTCCATATTGAATGTCATGACCAGAATAATCCGTCGTGGCTTTTCTCTTGGGGTGATGATATAACTGTGAGACAATTTGGACAAGGCAGTCTTAACGATGTTTGGCACAGAACAATGTTTCCCTGCATAACTTGAGCTACAAACACAGGTCACGTTAGAACCCTTCCCAAGCACCTTTGATGTGCCCGATTTAAAGCATTTAGGCTTTCCGTTTTCGAATGTGAATTCCTCATTACCGTAATCAGACAGAGTGAAAGTTTTTGGCTTCTTCAGATCATAATCTTTATACAAATTAGGTCCATCATCTTCAGGAAGATCGAGAGGTTGGGTGTTGGTGATGGAAAAGAATTGATCTATTGACTGATACCACTGTTCGAGACGACCGGATTCTCCAGGTCTGAATGGAAGAAGTCTGCCGTTATCTCTTTGTGTACAGTCCATATTTATCTCACTCTGCGGATACATAACATCCTGATAATTTCGAATATGTTCTGTTGTGTTCCTTGAATATCTAATTAATTCAGTTGTCTCAGTCTGCATCGCCTTTTTAGTGAAGGTGACCTTATGAAGTAATCCATTTCTGTATAATCCTTTGAGAAACAATACAAACAGTATTAACACTTGAAAGTAAATAAAATATAAAAAAATCTTGAAAACTTTGCTATTCCTTGCACAAATGAAATGGCCCATCATGACACAATGTAGACTGATCTGTGTGTTGTTATAGGTGATTGTAGCACAGTAGGTTTCAATAATCCAACGGTCGTCAGTAATGATGTTTGAAGATTCTTCTGGGAATTTGACTCATGATTCGGGAAAGGATCATATCTACAAATTAAAACAAAGCATTGTACATGATGTTATTTCGGGGCGTAAAATGTATATAACAAAAAACGCTGTAAACGAAGAAGAATTATTGACACCTGAAAATATAGTTATAAGACAAGCTATGAAATAAAGGCGTGTCGTCTTTGACGTTTGAAAGAATATATAAAAATATTAAATGGTAATAAATGGTGGTACGTTAGAAACAATTCATAAACAGTTCATAGGTAATATATATATAGTGAACACAAAATGGTTAAAACAAGGAAAAATGGAAACTAGGGCATATGTTTACCTTTTCTTTTTCTGCATATATTTGGCTTTGATGGTGTGAGAGGGGTATGGAGTTACCGATCTTGAAGGGCGTTGTAGTAAATGTTAGCTTTTTAAGTTCCTTTGTAAGGTAGGAGGGTTGGGTATGGGTGGGTGGGTAAAGTGATGTTCTATCATAATGAAGTCTAGGTTTAGTGCCCACATTTCTGTCAAGCAACATGACGAAAAGCAAAAGGAACATACCACAACGTTAAGATTGAAACTGCACACACGAAGCAGATTTTGCTTCTCTTTAATAGCCACATGTGGTTAGCGGGGAGGCAAACTGAATAAAATATTACATAATGCCTAGCTTCTCACGATAGCACATTTCACCGTGCGTGGATATGGTTGAAACGTGCTCTTCACGTTACGTTACTTGTAAATATAGCGGAGCGAAACGTCGGTGTGTTTTGTGGCACATCTGGCACCAACCAACCAACAAAACAACACACACACACACACACACACCCCACCCCAACCCCCAATAACCCCCAAAACACAAAACAAACCCAGACACACACACCCATCCCCCCAAAAAAAACCCAACCAACCAACCAACAAGCAAGCAAGCAGGGAAGCAAGCAAGCAAGCAAACAAGCAAACAAACGAACGACGCATTTGTTTGCCTGAATAAATTGATTTTCCTTTTTCATGGATACGATTGGGTCATCACTAATAGCTTACACGCGGTCTACACAAGGCTCAGTGATTGCGGTAGGAGGCTACCGTATGAAGCTGTCGTTCAGGCGGCTTGGTGATGTGGTTGGTTGCATGCCATTGTACCCTTCAGACATACGCCAAATTCCAGGGTTCAAATCCACACATGAGTACATAGTGTAAACCAGATACGTTTGGTGTCGCTTACCCAATCACTGCCCACTGTACAGACGACACACACCGACTGTCTATATACAGGCCTACACAGTAGAATTCCCAATCAATACCCAATGTACAGACGAAACACAACGACTGTCTGTATACAGGCCTACACTGAAGAATTCCCTATCACTATCCACTGTATAGAGGACACACACCAACTGTCTGTATACAGGCCTACATCGTAGAATTTCCAATCACTGCCAACTGTACAGACAACAAACACCGACTGTCTGTATACAGGCCTACACAATAGAGTTCCCAATCACTACCCAGTGTACAGACGACACACACCGACTGTCTATATACAGACCTACAAAGTAGAATTCCCAAACAATACCCACTGTACAGACGAGACACACCGCCTGTCTGTATACAGGCATACACAGTAGAATTCCCAATCACTACCTACTGTATAGACGACACACACCGACTGTCTCTATACAGGCATACACAGTAGAATTCCCAATCACTGCCAACTGTACAGACAACACACACCGACTGTCTCTATACAGGCCTACATGGGAGAATTCCCAATCACTACCCACTGTACAGACGACACACACCGACTGTCTATATACAGGCCTACACAGTAGAATTCCCAATCACTACCCACTGTACAGACGACACACACCGACTGTCTGTATACAGGCCTACATCGGAGAATTCCCAATCACTGCCAACTGTACAAACAACACACACCGACTGTCTCTATACAGGCCTACACAGTAGAATTCCCAATCACTGCCCACTGTACAGACAACACACACCGACTGTCTGTATACAGGCCTACATTGTAGAATTCCCAATCACTGCCCACTGTACAGACGACACACACGGACTGTCTGTATACAGGCCTACATTGTAGAATTCCCAATCACTGCCCACTGTACAAACAACACACACCGACTGTCTGTATACAGGCCTACATTGTAGAATTCCCAATCACTGCCCACTGTACAGACGACACACACGGACTAACTGTATACATGCTTCGCTTTGATTACCTATCCCTAACTACCCCTAATTAATGCTACTACTACTACTACTACTCCTACTACAACTACTACTGCTGCTGCTGCTGCTGCTACTACTACTACTACTTCTACTACCACAGCTGCTACTGCTGCTGCTACTACTACTACTATCATTACTATTGCTATTGACCCTTGAAGATCGTTTTCAGAATTGATCTTCAGTAACCCATGCTTGTCGTAAGAGGCGACTGACGGGATCAGGTGGTCAGGCTCGCAGACTTGGTTGACACACGTCATCGCATCCCAATTGCGTAGATCGATTCTTCTGCTGTTGATCACTGGATTGTCTGGTTGAGGTTCGGTTATTTACAAACCGCCGCCATAGAGCTGGACTATGGCTGAGAGCGTCTTTTAACGACACACAAACTAACTACTACCACCACCATCACCACCACTGCTACTACTACTACAACTACTGCTACTGCTGCTGCTGCTGCTGCTACTACTACTACTACTACTTCTACTGCTACTGTAGCTACTACAAAACTCGACACGTCTTCCGACACGTGTTCCTTGTCAACAGCCCCGTGTTTATCAGTGTTTATCATTATCCTGGAATTGTGGACGAAATCGAGGGCATCACCCAGATTAGGTTTCAAATCAGTGTCCTCGGATCCTTAACAGACACAACGAAATATTCAGTAAAACAATATTCACGTACCTTCACAGTTGATCCTCTTAAATCCATATCGTCGAATGCTCCGCGAGCTTCACAATACATGCAATAATGCATACTCCCGCTAAACTGACATTCTTGTACAGGAAGAGAAGCATACACACAACTCCAAGCTCTGTGAAATGACTGGTGAAACCGTTCAACCGGAACATATGCGCGAGGCTTGGAGCATTGATGTCTCACCTATCCTCGCCGTGACATTCACATATGAATGGGAGTTAAGGTTAACCTTAGTAAAGGTTGCTTCGTGAAAGGAGTCCCTGATCTTTATTATTATCACCCCTAATTATTAGTAATATGTTTGAATATGCCCATTTTACAGCAATGTAGAGGATGAAATCCACTTCCTTCTAAATTGCCATTTGTATAATGACTTAGGAATGACGTTTTAACCTTTTTAGATATTTCCCATTTTCAAAATGACTTACAACTTTTAAATGCTTTTATGTCATCAGAACCATATTATTTTGATAATATCTATTTTATCTACTTCTGTTAATGAAAAAATGTTTATGATGTATGTTGACATACAAATCCATAAATTGGATTCGGACACGTAGCGCTCAGTAACAATCATACTTAATTAATTATGCCTGCTCAGCTTCACTGAAACAATCACATGGCGGTGGGGGTAGCTTAGTCTGTCGTACAGACCCTGAAGCAAATATATCCAAGAAAGCCAACGCAAGTCTAGAAAATGTGGCAAGTCTAGATTTCCTCAGCTTCTGAAATGAAAAAAGTCTCAGGGCTCCTTTTCATTATATTTTATTTTACTATGAACCGTTTTCAGTAAAATATGTTCATTTCAGAGACTAGTTTTTAGTCTAGGGGTAGCCCAGTGGTTAAAGCGTTCGCTCGTCACGCTGAAGACCTGGGTTCGATTCCCCACATGGGTACAATGTGTGAAGCCCATTTCTGGTGTCCTCCGCCGTGAAATTGCTGGAATACTGCTAAAAGCGGCGTAAAACTATACACACTCACTCCCAGGAAGGTGTCTGTTTGACAACTACTCTATTAAAAGTGTTGAATCCTTGTCCGATAGTTTAAACGCGTTTGTATGGGTATTATCGTTTTGATCCTAAACCTGTTTGAAATTAACTGCCCTGAAAACATTATAGACTAAGTGTATCAAAGCATATTGACTTAACGTAGAGATGATCAAGAACATATCGTGTCTAAATATGATTAGGTTGGACAATTGTATCAACATACTATTAAATACGACTGTTGGATTGATCACTTATAGATAGGGGTGGGTATTGCAGAGAATTTTGATATTGCGATATATTGCGATGCGGAAGCATATATTGCGATAAGTATTGCAATATATTGCAAGGATTATTTTTTTAACAAAAACTACATATAATCGAGTTAATGCTTGATTATAAAGCAAAAACACAACAAAATCACTATGATTAATTAACCTTTTATAAAAACGTTTAATCATGACAAAATATCAAATGTAAGTAACATTTGGCACTAATGAAACAGGGAAAAGAACAATTCAAAAACCGGAAATATCCGAAGATTTCCAAGCGTTACGAAGTTTTCCGAATGCATCTCAAAATACCGGTTTTCGATCAGCATATCGCATTACGTATCGTTTTCATGTCTGAACCGGTAAATACCGGTACACCGGTTATATTGCGCAGCCCTACTTATAGACTGTACTGTATCACAACGAACGTATGTTTGAGGGGCACTGGGGTAGCCTAGTGGTGAAAGTGTCCGCTCGGCACGCCGAAGACATGGGTTCGATTCCCCACTTGGGTACAATGTGTGAAGCCCATTCCTGGTGTCCCCCGCCGTGATATTGTTGGAAAATTGCTAAAAGGGGGGTGCAACTTTAATATTGGATCTAACAACAGTTGTTTAATGTGGGAGAAATTCAGAAATATAGATATGGTCTTGAAAAACCAATAAGCATTACAGGAGCATGTTTGGGTCCGTAATTACAGGATCCTGACACGTTATACAAAGTGTAAGCCTCTGAAAATAGGACATTTTGATAGCAATATATAACTCCGTATATAGTGAATTAGCCCCAATGAGCTCGGAGATTCAGAACCAGTAGGGGTCTAGACTGGCTTCATGTTGGACTATTGCATTACAGAAGAGGTTGGGCCGAAAGTTTGGAGTATGAGATTGACTACTGGCGTGTGTAAGGTCCCAGCAATACAGAGCGAATGTACAAGGAGGGAAACGCATTAAGAAAACTTAATCTCCTGGTAATATTAGCATTCGTACTTCGGAAAATAAATGTTTATATAGACCTAGGCAAGCAGAGGATGTCCTTCATTTGAAACACGCTCTGCTGATTACAGTTGGTGGCTTCGTTATATCTGTTGGAACAATGCAGCTGACTACAGCCGACTTGGTACTGTTCATCTAGGTGAGGTCTGTCAATATGTTAAAGCTGACGTTGTACTGTCAGCTGATGAAGATAGTGATTCTCGTGAGCCAATTCCATGATGCGATTACTATTGTCAATTCATTAACTCCTCTTTGAAGGACAAGGTAGTCATGCAATATACTGATATCGGGAAATGAACGACAGGTGGTCTTTTAGTATCCATCTAGACAAGGTCACTCACTACTGTCAATATGTATAGACGATTCAAGGTTTTCCACTCAAAATATAATTCTAAAGCGTCAATCAACGTATATACCAGCTTCTGTGCGTGTATTGATGAGCTGATAGTAATTAAATGCAACTTGACTCTTGGCTGTCTGAGTACGACTTATCCAGAGACCAGTTGATATTGGAGACATACATTCTGTTGTCAGTAATAGTATTTGGAATGATCTACAAATAAATATCATGAGGCTGACTATGTATTTATTCATTAACCATTCTCACAGGTTCACAAATAAGTTGGGTAAATATTTGATCTTCAGCAACCCATAAGAGCGAACTAATGTGATCGGGTGGTCGTTCTCACTTACTTGTTTGATCCATGCCATCGTATCCCACTTGTGAAGATCGATGCTCATAGTGTCATGACCATGCTATGTGTAACTCCTTTGTGTAGATCATTACATATTACTAAAACCGAGGCCTGCATATTTTTATGAACGTTACAGTAGAAACAAGGTGTTTATATTAATATTATCTAGGAATTTCTTTGAGTTATCCATAAAAGTAAGCACTTAATGTTTGGTATTTAAAGCAGTACGCTTCTGTTGTAATAGATCTTCATCAAATATTCCTCTTTTCATCCGTGATAAAGCTGCAAATACGTTAAGACTAAATCGTTTCCGTGGACCTTCTTCAGCTTCATATCTGTGCATGTAAACGCCAATGTACAGGAAGGTGTAGCTGCAAGAGGTTGAACCTGTTGTGTTCTTCGGCATGTGGATGTGGACTTGAAACATGTTCCCGTGATCTTGACAATGTTGACATTAACTAACATGTCAACTGGGAATACACTATGACTATTAAAAACAATAAATGCGAACTGATATGAAGGAAATGTTGCTTGCGTTATGATGACATGACTGTGTGTATATTTGGTGGTAAGATACCATAACACCTTTCTGATCAGTGTCATATCTTTTACAATGTATGAATGATTGCCGGTGTAACATAAATCAAGAAAACCAAAGTCAGTTTAGCACTGACACTAAACGTCTTATCAAAACATATCTCCTTCTGATATCAGCTGAATTCTTGTTTCTGTCAGAATGTCAATAAACGGAAATTTGTATGACAGTTCAACAGTATCTTCGACATATATAGTATTGTTGATACTATGTAAAGCATGGAGATGAAATTCTCTTATATTTTGCTGATCTAAATACAAAGTACCAGCCACTGTTTCCTCGTAATGGTTTTTCATGAATACAATGCCAACCAAACGTATATATGATCTTCAAGTGATATAGCTGAATCAGAAAAAAATAACTCTGGAAAAATTACCTTTAATTTGTAAATTTCAACTCATATTTTCTCATCAAATGCCCTTTCTATTAAGATTGACCTTTGACCTTACCAAAATATTTTTGCGACAAGTATATAGGTAATATTATTGTCAGTTTAAATCATGATCTGAGCATTCCAAAACTGCTTTTTTTGATAAAAATCGGTCAAACCAAACCAGAGTTATTAAATTTAACCATCCAGTTATCGGTTAAAATATTGTCATAACTGACATGACATGTTGCACCTTAAAAGGGCCCCCGCATGGTAGCTGATGACAACCCGCTTTAAATCAAAGCTAAATCATTCCTGATTGTGAAACATCACATCCCATTCGGTCGCCAGAACTGCACCACATTTTCACCATTTTGGGGGTCTGGCTTCTAGACCATATATAACTTTAATATCCTGCAGTTAACAAAAGCGACCATTTTTTCTATAATCATGTATAGTTTCCTCAGAAAGTAGTGGGAACATCTTTGTTTTCTAATACTGATTATAGAATTAGAAAACATGTGTTACGTTATGTAGCAAGGTATTCAATATGGGAGGCAACTCTCGTAGGCTTAAGAATGAACCTTTCTATATCAAGAGTTATCTCCCCTTGTGTAGCAGACGTCTTCCTTTGTTGACATCAGAAGAGAAAAGAAAGCTAGTTCTAGATGATTTTGAAAGGGGTGTGACTAATGCAAAAGAGTTAGCTGGTAGACATGACATTCCTCTGTCTACAGTATACAGAACTTTGAAGAATATTCAGTCAGGAGTTGGGACTGAGCACAAGATAGGAGCTGTGAGACCATGGAAGTTCACTATTACGGATCGCCGGCGACTTGGTCAGATTGTGAGCAGGGGAAAATTGAAAAGCGTTGAGAATATCAGGGATGATTAATAGTGGAAATCCTCCGGTATGAAACCCTTAGACAAGAATTACAAGATTTAACTGTGTGAAAATGTGAGGAATTCCCTCACCACTGATGAAAGATGCACAAACAGAAAGACGAAATACGTTTAAACTGGTGTTAGGGCTCATGAAAATCAAGATTGGAATTATGTTGTTTATGCCAGACTGCACACTTGTAATTCGAAAACATAAGACATTAGAGACATATAATTTGGGTAATGTTTGTGCCGCTTTTCTTGTTGCT